TGAAAGGCGGGTGCACTGCTGGGGGCACACCGTATAGAAACTGACCATCTGATTCTAAAGTGATGGAAATACAAAGGACCTAAAAGAACCAAAACACAGAAAAGGGAGAACATTCACACCCCTCGGGGCGCACTGTCAAGTGACGGGAATCAAGGGCCCGGAGAAAAGACAAGAGGGTCTCGGTGACGCAGGGACACACCGCCTCACCGAGGGGCCTCCCACAGCTCGCACCCTGCTCTCCGTTCAGAGTCCTCACAGACCCCGCGGGAAGCTAACGCTCAAATCCCGGAAGGAAGCGTCAAAGACCATCCTGGGCCCTTGGTCAGACGGAGGTTTGATAAATGCCGCGGGGACTCGCCGCCTATGCATGAGAAGCAGAGACGCTGGCCTCACCGGGGTGCAGACTGGCCTTCATCGGGGTGCAGACTGACCTTCATCGGGTGCAGACTGGCCTTCAGCGGGTGCAGACTGGCCTTCACCGGGGTGCAGACTGGCCTTCATCGGGGTGCAGACTGACCTTCATCGGGTGCAGACTGGCCTTCAGCGGGTGCAGACTGGCCTTCACCGGGGTGCAGACTGGCCTTCATCGGGGTGCAGACTGACCTTCATCGGGTGCAGACTGGCCTTCAGCGGGTGCAGACTGGCCTTCACCGGGGTGCAGACTGGCCTTCATCGGGGTGCAGACTGACCTTCATCGGGTGCAGACTGGCCTTCAGCGGGTGCAGACTGGCCTTCACCGGGGTGCAGACTGGCCTTCATCGGGGTGCAGACTGACCTTCATCGGGTGCAGACTGGCCTTCAGCGGGTGCAGACTGGCCTTCACCGGGGTGCAGACTGGCCTTCATCGGGGTGCAGACTGACCTTCATCGGGTGCAGACTGGCCTTCAGCGGGTGCAGACTGGCCTTCACCGGGGTGCAGACTGGCCTTCATCGGGGTGCAGACTGACCTTCATCGGGTGCAGACTGGCCTTCAGCGGGTGCAGACTGGCCTTCACCGGGGTGCAGACTGGCCTTCATCGGGGTGCAGACTGACCTTCATCGGGTGCAGACTGGCCTTCAGCGGGTGCAGACTGGCCTTCACCGGGGTGCAGACTGGCCTTCATCGGGGTGCAGACTGACCTTCATCGGGTGCAGACTGGCCTTCAGCGGGTGCAGACTGGCCTTCACCGGGGTGCAGACTGGCCTTCATCGGGGTGCAGACTGACCTTCATCGGGTGCAGACTGGCCTTCAGCGGGTGCAGACTGGCCTTCACCGGGGTGCAGACTGGCCTTCATCGGGGTGCAGACTGACCTTCATCGGGTGCAGACTGGCCTTCAGCGGGTGCAGACTGGCCTTCACCGGGGTGCAGACTGGCCTTCATCGGGGTGCAGACTGACCTTCATCGGGTGCAGACTGGCCTTCAGCGGGTGCAGACTGGCCTTCACCGGGGTGCAGACTGGCCTTCATCGGGGTGCAGACTGACCTTCATCGGGTGCAGACTGGCCTTCAGCGGGTGCAGACTGGCCTTCACCGGGGTGCAGACTGGCCTTCATCGGGGTGCAGACTGACCTTCATCGGGTGCAGACTGGCCTTCAGCGGGTGCAGACTGGCCTTCACCGGGGTGCAGACTGGCCTTCATCGGGGTGCAGACTGACCTTCATCGGGTGCAGACTGGCCTTCAGCGGGTGCAGACTGGCCTTCACCGGGGTGCAGACTGGCCTTCATCGGGGTGCAGACTGACCTTCATCGGGTGCAGACTGGCCTTCAGCGGGTGCAGACTGGCCTTCACCGGGGTGCAGACTGGCCTTCATCGGGGTGCAGACTGACCTTCATCGGGTGCAGACTGGCCTTCAGCGGGTGCAGACTGGCCTTCACCGGGGTGCAGACTGGCCTTCATCGGGGTGCAGACTGGCCTTCCAGAGACACTGGAGAGGACGAGGAGTGAAGCCGCCGCGAAGGGCGCCTCCTGGTAAAGAGTTTGTCCCAGAGGCGCCGAGGTCTCACCCAGCCCGACAACACAATGAGAAACAGCCTGACTTTAACACGCGCAGCGGGTGGGGACCGACGCCCCCGGGGAGAGGGGGTGATGGAGCAGCGAGGAGACGCTCAGCAGACAAAGCAGAGACGCCCCCAGCGAGGCCCGGCCCCGCCCTGTGTCCCCGCCCCTCCCTGAACCTCACACTTAACTCTGAGCGCGTCAGTCCACGCGGGGCGTGTAGCAGGAGACGGGTCTCAGCCTCGCCGCCGCTGCCTGGACGCTGGGCTGATATTTGGGAAGCCCTGGGCGGAGCCCAGGGGCGCCGGAGTCCCCCCTCCCCAATGGAGAGAGACCCAGGTAGGTGGTGTGAGGAGGCCGGCCTGGGGAGGGCCGCCCCACCCCCGGACCGACCGGAGGGCCTCACAGGGTGCCTCCTGGAAGAGCCCAAGGGGTGTCCACACCCCGCCGTGGGGACAGACCGCGGGAAGGAGCCCGTGGCGAGGGCTTCACTCTGACACCTGCAGGTGCGGAGTCCCGGGCGCGGCGCTGGGTGCCTGCTGCACGGACCGCGTCCAGCCCGGAGCCCGTCTGCCCGCATTTTCATCGTTTCACCAGCACTGGCCCACTTCTTTGTTGTTGTTGATCCTCCCCTGAGGATATTTCCCATCGATTCTTAGAGAGAGTGGGAGGGAGAGGGAGAGGGAGAGAAACGTTGATGTGAGAGAGACACACCGATCAGTTGCTTTCTGCAAGTGCCCCGACCGGAGCCAGGGATCCAGCCTGCAACCTAGGTACGTGCCCTTGACCAGGAATTGAACCCAGGACCCTTCAGTCTGCAGGCTGATGCTCCATCCACTGAGCCACACTGGCTTAGGGCCCAACTGTCCCGCCTCAGTGGGCAGCAAGGTTCACCTCCCAGGGACACCAGCCCCTCCCGACCAGGGGTTCCCGCACGGGGACCCAGAGGGGCTTGGAGGACCTGGGCTGTAGGCCCTGGCCCTCAGGTGGGGTCCCCACTCCCCACTGGGGGGCAGTCACTCTGTGAGGTCCCGGGGTGACTTGTGGGGCCTCTCCCAGGGCTTGCTAGGCAGAGACCCCAAATAATGAAGGGCCCCCGGCCCCTCAGTGTCTACCTTGCGGTGACCTCTGGACACCTCGTGAGCTGGAGACACCTGCTGCCACGCCGGCTCCTCGGGAAGCCAGAGTCCCCGCTGGGCCAGCCTCCTGTCTGTCCTCCTGTCTCCGCTGCAGGACTCAGCCAGGCCCCGAGGGCAGAGGGAGCGCATGCTGGGCCAGTGAGGAGCCCCAGATGGCCTGGCCCCCGCTGTCTGCCAGAGTCCCCCCCGCCCCCCCCGGAAATCATCCTGAAATTGTAGTTAATGATGGGTCGTGTCTGCCTGAGACTGCTCAGCAGGAGGAAGGGCTCTCCGGGGGACAGGGAGTGGAGGGTGAGCTGTGGGGACTGTGCCTGCAGGAGGCAGGGAGGGAGGCAAGCAAGGAGGGAGGCAGGGAGGGAGGCAGGGAGGAAGGGAGGGAAGGAGGCAGGGAGGGAGGGAGGGAAGGAACGATGCCCCACCAGGGCCTCCCTGGCGGGCGATCGCAGGCAGCTCGGCCAACATAGCTCCCGTCAGGAGATTCCTGGCCATTCCCGAGGCCTCTCTGCGGCCTCTGCAGTGTGGACCGTGGATTCGTGTCAGACGGTCTGCTGTGTCCCTGGAACGCGGGGGGCCCTCTCTGTGACCTTCGCTTGGCGGGGCTGCAGCGTGCTGGGCAGAGCGCCCGGAGCCGGGCGCTGCGGCTTGAAAGCCACGGGGTCCCTGGGCCCCTGCCACAGCAATGGCCTCACCTCACATGCTTGACCCTCTGTGTCTCGGGACACAGACCCGGGACCTGATTCTGGTGGAAGGGGCCGGGCTAAGACCTCGATCTCGTGTTGCAAACCGCCCCCAGAGGAGGTGAAGCATAAAATGACCAAGTCCAGCCCGGCCCGCGTGGCTCCGTGGTGGAGCGTCGCCCTAGGAACCAGGAGGTCACAGTTCAATTCCCGGCCGGGCACATGCCCGGGTTGCGGGCTCGATCCCCAGTTGCAGGGGGCGGGGACCGATCTTTCCCTCTCCCTTCTTCTCTGAAATCAATAAAAAAAATTATTTTTAATGACGGAGTCAGATGCTGGCAGGAACGGAAAAGGA